TCAAAGTTAATTGCAAATTTTCAACTCGGGAAGTTGTTTTTGATATATTCAAATATCTGGAGAAAGAAAAGACGTCGTGGGTACTCAACATTCAATTAGATAATATGTACGAAAGAGTGCTTGCTGCAACAGGTGTTTCAGAAAGAATTATTCGAAGAATTGTTACAGAACAAAGGAAAATAGAACTTGGTGCAATTCTTCTTTTGAATCGCCAACTAAAACGAATAATAGGAAAAACATAAAACAGATTTAGACAACGCAGATAAAAGTTTGTTACGTATAATTATCATAAATAGTTATACCACTGACAAAATTGTGCCTACAATGCCGAATATTTCAAGGAAATTTAAAGAAACTGGATACACAGGAGGAGATTTTCTTCGTAAAGTAGTAAAATCGATGGTATTCCGCTGGAGGAAAACGAAAACAAATAACAAATATTATTGGAGAGACATGGTATTCATCAATTAAGAATAGCTTTTTTACGTGTCATCAAATCGTACAGACAATAAAACAAAACGATTGTATATATATGGATGAAACATACATTCCTGCTTCACATACAATTCCAATGTAAGACTAGCTAGGCCCATTTCAAAAGAACAACGAATAATTGTTGTTCATGCTGGTAGCGAAAAGAGCTTCATTCCCACTGCCCAACTGATTTTTAAATCAAATTCAAATACCGTAGACTACCATCACGACATGAATTTTACCAATCATAAAAAATGGTTGGTTGAAAATTTATATCCTCACCTATCTCCAAATACAATCGTGGTTATTAACAATGCGCCTCATCACAATGTTCAGGAAAATAAAGCACCGACTTCTAATAGCAGAAAACAATATATGATAGAATGATTGAGATATAAAAATATTTATTTTGACACAAATATGTTAAACCCTGATAAAATTCCATTAGCCTAAATTCAAAACGTTTGAGATAGATGAAATTTTAACTCAACATGGCCATAGTATCTTACGATTAACTCTCTACCACCCAGATTTGAATCCCATCGAAATAGTATGTGTATCTCTGAAGCAATACGTTGGACAAAAAATTTGTCTTTTCATGTTGGGAATGTCCAACATTTATGTGCAACTTTTTTGACACATTTAGTGCTGAAGAGTGGAACAAACGCAGTGATCACGCAGAAAAATGGGAAGAAACATTCCCGACTTGACCGACCAGTGATCGACGTCGATCACCGATCGGCGTGTGTGCCAGGTCCCGTTCCCACATGTGGTTCACTATTGCAATTTGGACAACCGGTATAAAATCGGCCGTTCAAAATCAGTGTGTGTGCAATTAGCCTTACGCTAGTTGCACACACACCGATTTTGGACGGCCAGTATAAAATCGGCCGATATTTTATTGGTAGCGGGTGCTTGCACACTCACCGAATTTTTATCGGTCAAACAATCAGTTGCTTTGTTGTCGTAATTAGCACGCACTACCAAAACGAAGTTAATGCGTAGTAACTACAATTTCACCGAGCATTCGAGACTGGAATGGTCGGTAAAAAACCGGTGAGTATGCAAGAGTGTATTTAGTCATGTACGCCACTACTTCCCAGTACTGCCGGCGATACAGTGGCAGTGGACGGCTGCTCACCGGTATTTTACCGGCGACGATCACCGGTCGGCGTGTGTGCAAGGTCCCGTTCCCACATGTGGTTCACTATTGGAATTTGGACGACTGGTACAAAGTCGGCCGTCCAAAATCGGTGTGTGTGCAACTAGCGTTACGGTGTAGGTCATTGGGAGAGATGAATGTTTCGGGCTCCCATTTCAAAATATTCATTTTCTTATACATATGTATATCTCTTTGGAACAGCCTTCATACAATAAAAGAATATATCACAGAGTCGGTCTCTTCCATAAAATTATGTTTACAAATAAACTTTCATACTCATTATTCCAAGAAGAGGCTTGTTTGCTATACCAAAATTCCAAACGGAAATGTACAAATGGTACTTCAGCCATCAAATCGTCTGCCTTTATTTTTCTACGAAGTGCTATGAAAACAAAATCTATTTATGCCAGTATTCGAAATTATGAATTGGGTACTTTATGTCGTTATTGTTATTGAAATAGATCAATACTTACTTTCAATCAGAAACTAAATGTGATCATATATAGAGGAGCCTTCGACATTCATTTTTAACAAATGTATGGAAAATGATTTCTAGCCAATAGCTTTCAAAAAAAAAAAACATAAGGAGATTAATATTACTGGAGTTTCTTTCCCAACACCAAATCGTTATTTTCAACACCTCGACACGTGTTTCGATCACTAAGTGATCATCTTCAAGAGGAAGATTAAACCAGATGAGACAAACATTATCAACTACCGACCCTTAGCACTCACTATACACACCGTCTGACTGTCAATTTGGGTTTCGTGAAACATTATCTATCCAAGACGCAGTCTTAGCTCTTACTGCAGAAATAGCATCTGTTCTTAATGAGAATAAACAATGCCTAAGCGTTTTCATTGACTTGTGGAAAGCATTTGACACAGTTGAACTACAACCTTTTACTGAAAACACTAAAGACATTGGTATAAGAGATGATGCTCTAAACTTGTTCAAGAGCTATCTCGCCAATAGACTTCAGTGTGTAAAAATTGATAAAAATTTGATTAATAGAGTCCCCCAAGGCCAATTTTATTCAACATATATGTTAATGGACTATATTCTATCAGAAGTAGCGGTAAGTAGACGATACAGCTATTTTTCACAAGGCAAATAGCTGGGAGCAACTGGAACATGTAGGTAAATCGTATATGGTTTTGATTGAAAATTGGCTCGAACATCGATTATTGACAGTGAATCTGAAAAAAAGTCACTATAAACCTTTCAGTTACAATAATTCCAGCAAACCTTATTTTTTACAACTGAAAATTGATCAATATGTAATACTTCCCAAAGCTAAAGTGAAATAAGAGTAATAAAAGATTCACATCTTGAACGGGATGCTCATATTCAGTATATAATTTTCTACTAGTATATAGGTATGTATTATTCTTTCCATTTATTTGACAGTTTTATTTTCATTTACATTGTATTTTACGTTGTGTGACTGAAATTGCCACTAATGATTGTTAGTGAACTCTTATATATCGTTTTTACCATCATTAATACTATAGGTTTAACTTTATATCTATATATTATATCTTTGTTTTAATGAATTCTCAAAATTGTGTTGTTCCTGTGAAGTATCTAAGTGCTTTCGCACTTATCATCATTTTTCTTCATTCAACAATTATTATTATGTTGTGTAAAACCTTTTAAAATGAATTATTATTACAGGGAAATTATTTATTTGTTGAATTGGGCGATTCTTGATGTAGAAAACAATAACAAGTTGAACAAAAGCTGCCCCTGTATCCAAGCCTGGATTTTTTATTCATACATGAATTCAAATTATTCATTGATTTGTATGTTTCTGAATTTTCTAGTTTTCAATTATGGTGATGGCTTCAATTGAACTTACGCAAAAATTTTGTTTTCAAAAGGAGAAAAAACATACAGGCCCTTCATGAAAAACTGCGTAACTGAAATCAGATTTGAATTTTTCATGTCGAGGAAACTTCAATTATCAATACAAGACAGAATATCGATGTCATTTGAAAAATGGATTAGTGATACCAAATGTAGGTAAACCTAAGAAATCCGTAAAATGAATTCCAAAAAAAAAGGAATTTTTTATTTTGAAAACACTTGAGAAACAGTTCTTTGAAATATCAGACATTAATACAAATTACCCTCCATAATGAATATATTGTGCCCTGCACACAATCCAATACGTCATTTTCGATTATTTTAGTGGTGGTCACTAGCGACAGTACATCGAGAGGTTGTTCGACGTAAAAAATGCCCTGCCTCAAAAAGTACCATATCGTATATCAACGTGCTCTATGCAGGGCTGCTCCTGGCTATGCAATTGTACGAATTGCTATACAATTCAATATTTTTTCATAAATGCATACCACATTGACGAAAAGCATACATTTGGACTTTATTTTGTTTTGCATTGATTCGAACGAGGCCACGGTTATATATTTACAAATTTCAATCACTTCGTCCTTCGATAGTCGAATAATCTGTCTATATCTGTCTTCCGTCTCATTATGATAGGCGTGTCCCGCGTGTCTGTCTGTCATAGAAGTCATAGATCACGATCATAGAGCAACTCAGAAGTTGAGAAACTTGTGCGAGCTAAGGACTAACCAGGTCTTACCTTTTAACGTGTGATTCCTAACACGGTTGCAGAATCATTCCAGCTTCAACCAGATACATTCTCTCGAGAGATATATTTGGTCGAGGCGGGAATCGAACCCACGGTCTTTCGATCGTGAGTCGGGCGCACTACCACCGCGGCAAATTCCACACCAGTCAAATCTATCGAAAACCGCTGACGCTAAAAGAAAAATAAATCCACAGTGAGAAAAGAGAAAAGACGAATTTTAAATGAATATTTATGAATGGTTGTTGGAAGTTCACCTCACCCCTCTTTATTTTTGTTTCAGGAAACTTTGTGTTGTCATTTGATTTGATACATAATATAAGCTAAAGCTAGATTAGTGAATGCAGAATTTTCAATTAATATTAATGCAAATAGTAATCAAATCAATATATTTGCAAGAACCACTTCAAAATATTCACATTTTACATACGATGGAGTATCTGCGCATGCGCTAATCGCTTTATTCCATCTTTGCATCATGCGGGAAGCTGTCACTTGTCAATTATTCTGATGACAGTGTTGGCGACCTTTGATGCTATACAATTATAGCGAAAAGCATACATTTTCATTTGTCAATTTCGTACAAATTTTTGTTGCCTTGGAGCAGCACTGGCTCTATGTGGAATCTTTGGTTAGGTATAACAATTTTACCAGTGGTGGTCTTCAAGTTTGATTCAGTGTTGGGCTTTTAACCTAATTCAGTCATTCATTTATCAATTCTGGTTATCGGGAAAATCAAGTAATTGAACTATTTATAGAATGTCTCAATTATATTACTGAATATTGTTTTCTTTCAATAGTCATTCAATTCACAAAAACTTGATTACTCTTAGTGTCGTCGAACATCTTGGAAACTTTCTCACACATTTGCTTGTCTCCATCTGTGGTTACCATTATACACAACAAAGCTTTTCTGAGATTATCATCCAAACCGCTTTTGATCGCTGCATCACTATTTTTGAATCTGAAACTGAAAAAAGGGTGAGGAAATCAATATTGAAACGAAATTTTTATTCTTCGGAAGTAATTCAATTATATTAACTGTAATGTAATGTAAATGTAATGTATATATTATTTTTTTGGATGATGCAACTAATTTTCTTCATCTTGGGCATCGTCAGTACCGGGCAGGCGGTCCTCGATTGAAGACAAAATGAAAAAAATCAAGAAAGTACTTGATAAAAATTATATTATATATATGTAGTTGCCAACCTCCAGGAGAGTGCTGAGATTCTTATGGAAACTCACTTCCCAAGTTCTGTCTTTCCTGGAACGACGAACTGGACAGATGTACCAACAACACCCTCACAATACGACTGAAAAGGTAAAATACCTTGGTACTATCCTCGACAGGAAGCTAACATGGAACTCTCATCTATAAAGTAGAGCAAAAAGAGCATACGTTGCTTATGAACAATGTCGGAGGACAGTGGGATGCGCATAGGGTCTTTCACCCCGTGTGGTCACCTGGATCTACACTGCAATAATAAGACCTATGTTAACGTATGGAGCCATTGCATGGGGACCAAAAGTTCTACAAGCAACGGCCATCCAAAAATTATACCAAATACAGCGAATTGCTTGTTTAAACATCACAGGAGCCATGAGAACAACACCAACCGCGGCAATGGAATTAATCACGGGCCTGACCCCTCTTGATCTGTACGTTAAGGAGGTTGCCTTGATGGCCATGGTACGATTGCGCACGGCTGGTGTAAACCTCGAAGTAGGAATGGGTCAATTGAGGCTGGGCCTGTGGCGGGAAGCGCTTACTGCGCAACCTCTGGTGCAGGCAACAAGCGATGCAATTGAACCCAGGTTTGTGTTAAATAAACCCTACAAAATACAAATAAAGCAGAACATAGAGTCAGATGATATAAATGCAATACGGATTTACCCAGACGGCTCAAAAACCAAAGAAGGTTCAGGGTGTGGAGTGTATTCCAGATCACTAAGCCTAAGAATTATGTGGGAAATGGGAAGAAATACCAGCGTGGTCCAAACAGAACTGGCTGGTATCTCAATAGCCACAAATGAATTAACCAAGAAAGGAATTTCTGGAAAAAACATAACATTATGTTTTTTGCAGTGACAGCAGACAAGCCCTATTAGCCAATCAACGTATAACCTCAGGGCTAGTACTAGAGTGTCACCAAGATTCAGCCAAAGCCTCGGTAGATAATAACATTATCCTGAGGTGGGTTAAAGGGCACGACAGGAGTAAAGGTAATTGCCGACTTTTTAGCCAAGCAAGCGGCTGGACTAAGAATTTTGGGACCCAGTGGCACCTACGGCCTGATGACTTCGACAATTGCGGAACTAGTCAAGTGTTACACCCATGCTTAATCCTTAAAGAGATGGGACGAAACCAAAGAATGTAATCTTGCTAGGATCACCTTGGGTGACCCTGGGAAGCTGGCGCCGAAGAAATATTTGGCAATGACCAGGAAAAATCTACGCCTAACAGTAGGATTTCTAACTGGTCACTGTCAAATAAGGAAACACCTCCATAATATGTAGTACACCTAAAACTCTAAGGATGAAAAATTTTCAGGATACAATTCTCAGGGATGAAAAGTATTCTTCATCTAGCAGTCATGATGTGCAGATCAAGAAATCATACCAAACGAAAGAACCCTCCACAGAGGAACTATCTTCTACAACTGAACACCATGCAAGTATAAAATATACGTTTTGTCAATCTTGCAATAAGTAATTCAAAACTACAAAAGGTTTGAGAATCTACTTTTCAAAAATTCATAAATCTGAATCAACATTTTTCCCTTCCATCCAAACCTGTGCAATGAGTCCGGATGTTGAATCCAAATCTGGTGCAAGTTCTATTGAAGCTATCAATGATAGACTTTCTATATACAAACTCCATTCTCACATATTGAAGAGGATTCCCAAAGAAGCAAGAATGTGTGCCGCGAAAGCTTTGAGCAAAGCTATTGATGAATGCATCCAGAGCAATTCGTTAGATAACTGGAAATATTTGCTTTGTTTTGCATACATATGCTTTTGTCTTCCACCACATAAAGAAAATCGTAAAAAGTCTCTCACTTTACTCATGAAGAAGAACATTTCCAATACCTGTCCAGAAAGTTCCAATCACAAATTCGAAAGTCGATCTAAAAAGAAAACAAATTTCCCAAAATCTGTGGTAAATAAAGATTCAGACGGCGATCTCGCTTCGGCAATTAGTATTTTGACTTCATCGGACAGTTTTGCAGATTTTGATGATACTGAACTTCAAGCTACACATCCCGCTGACGTCTGTCAAGAACCTATACCTGACACAAACTGTACTCCTTTCCAAGTTGATGAAAAATAAGTCTTGAAAGCAATCAGATCATTTCGCACTGTTTCAACAGAATCTAAACGATACGGAAATTCTGCACTATGCAAGGAAGGGTTGCAAACTCAATTATTTAGAATCCTTGGAAATTTACAAGCATAAACATTGCGGGTGCAACCTGTTGAATGATCAAATCGATTTAAAAGGTACTCAATCAAGTACCTGAATGATATATATTGGCGAATAATGAATCATTGTTAGTTTATTGTATTAGTTTGAGAATGTCTATATATGACGAAACTGCAGTAACGTTAGTTACAACTAAAAGTAGTAAAAAACATAGAAATTTTCATTTCTCTTTTCATTGTGATCTCCTACCACGTAGTATCGGCTACATCCATCAATTTATACATTTCAATTTTTCTTAAATATTCTACTTGTTATCTCACTTTGAAATTGTATTATTCTTATAATTTACTTTCAAGCCTCTGTATTGCATCAAGTACTATAGAACTGTTCTACTTATATCTGAATTGGGCTTGCCCGTGTACATAAATAAATAAATATGATTAATCGGTTGATGTTTCTTGTATACACTGACCATTTCGTCCCGTGTCTTTAAAGTCAATGATTACCTTTGTTGTTGAATAGACATTTACAAATATGATCTACTTACTTGTAATATTGGTCAATGAGTTCATGTTTTTTCGTCATATTTTGGACCAAACGATCAATTTCTACCGCATCTAAACTCTCAACGCCCCATGCATCCTTGAAGGAGTATATTTTATACCACTCCGGTTCCTTGTCTGGATACTGATTAGCTAAGGTAACATTGAAAGTCCATTCATCGATATCCACTACATTCTGTAGAAAAAAATATCTACATAAAACGGTTACATAGGATGAAAGAATCACATCAATGGAAAAGTCCTTCGACGTTGTTTATGCCAAATTTACCTAATTGAACTTGAACTATGAAACAATACAGAGGAATCAGTGAAAAAATTTTGAAAATTGTACTGAGAAATAGATTATTGAATTTTATCGTAGAACGACTGGCAGCTGATGTCATTCGATAAAGTCTCGTCCGCCGGACGGAATTATCCATGTGAGCCCAAAAAAAATACTTTTTAGCATGTGCCGGTACGTTTACGGCCATGGTTTGGTACGGTATAGTAGGCAGATACCTTTATTTGCGAATTTTTCAGTTAATACCATGCCATCTGTTTCAACTGTAGGGAATGAATCATTCAAGACCCGTATTGAGGGTGCACATCAATTAAGTGTTTTGCCGAAAATTATGTGCCGGCACAAAAATTGCAGAACATTACACCGAATATGTGAAACAATTGATGAAGTTTGATTTTGTATGTACCACGGCTGATATATGGTCGTCATCATCTGAGAGAGATATATAGATAGATATAGAGATATATTTGATCGAAAAGTCGTTACTGTGGCTTGAAGGAGAACCGGTTACTGAGTATTAATGCTGTATGAATAAGTTTTTCTATATAATTTTTGCATGACAGACATTTCGAAACTAGATGAATTATATGAAAACATGTAATTAGGTTCTACTCATGCACACCACATTCTCACAGATAGAAAAAATATACAGTATAATCTCACTAATCCTGCACTATTAAAAACCGGAGGATGCCGGATTATTGGAATATTATAGAATTACTGGATTATAGTGAAAAAGTCATAGGTAATGAATAAAATAAAGCATTTCATCATAAAATAATCCTTATTTGAGGTCTGCTTTTGTGCAACTTGCAGTCCTTGCTTGAAAACCTTTTCTCGCATGTTGCGAAGAATTATAATATATTTGGCAGATATGCCGTTTTCTTCAGCCCATGTTATGCAGGTATTGAAACAAATCAAAACATTATCTGGATTAACTCTTACAGTTGTAGTAGAAGTTGGTGGCTCCAATATTTCTATAAAGCTTTTTTCTTCTTGTACTGCTTCATGTACAATTTCTTCATCTGTCATAAGTTGCTCTGTTTCTTCGATTCCTTCAAACCAAGAATTTAAATTTTCTTCACTTGTCTCCAATAATTTTTCTGATAGATTTTGTTACCAATCGGCAATAGCCAGATTATCTTCAGGATACCATTCATCTGTTCCTTCTGTTTCTGATACATCATTCATTGTAGGCCATAACTTTTTCTATGAAGATTAGATTAGATGAAACAGACTTCCAAGAATGAGCGAGAGAGAATACAGCATCCTTCAAATTCAATTCTTTAAGGTTCTGCGTTATATCACCATCCCGAGATATTATATGGATCGCCAATTTATTTTTATACAAAGACTTCACATTTTGGATAGCATTTTGATCCATCGGCTGAAGTAAAGGTGTGCAGTTTGGTGGTAGGAAGATGGTTTGGATATTTCCATCACTTGATTTAAGTTCTTGCTCATGTGGGTGGCCTGGAGCATTGTCATGTACGAGTGAAGCTTTTATGAGCAAGTTGAATCTTCTCATAAACTCCTTGACTTCTGGGACAAAGTCTTTATGAAAACATTCGCTAAATACCTCTCTCGTGACACAACTTCTGATTTGGTTCTTGTAGCAGACTGGCAGACAGATGTTTTTGAAAGCTCTGTGATTTTTTACTTTACCAAACACTGACAAATCCAATTTGTGCGTTCCAGTAGCATTTGAACACAGCATGAATGTGCTCACTTTACGACCTGGTGCACTTATAGATTTGGTCAGGAAAAAGACCCAGTTCTACTACTTTGTTTTTGAAATGCTGGATAAATGGCTCCACAGCAGATTCATCGCTTGGTAATTTCTCACCCGATATGGTTAATAAACGGATACCAAATCGCTTTTTAAATTTATTCAGTCATCCATCGCTGGCACAAAAATCATCTTTGTGGGTAATTTCTTTACAAAATTCGATTGCTTTGGCTCTCAGAATTTCTCCAGATATAGGAGTATGTTTAGAACGCCGTTGTATGAACCACATGTAGAGAGCGTTTTCCATCTTTGGACAATCGCCAACTTTTAGTGTTTTACGCTTTCCTGGTCCTGATTCCATTGTCTTGACGTGGTCTACTATCTTTTGCCTTTTTTCTTAAGATCGTATATAGTAGTACGCCCAACACCATATTCTTTTGCCAATTTGCACATGTTTTCTCCACTATCTAACTTCTTTAAAATCTCCAGTTTATTATTCAAAACTAGTGTCGTGTGTTAGGCGTTTATTTGACATTTTTAACTATAAACTATTCTCACTTGAAAATACAAATACGTAGGTAAGCACTCACACGTGATAAGATTTGAGATTAGACTGCTAGTCGACGACGCGAGCGACCGAAGCGCACATGTGTAGAGGGGCGAGGGAGGCGTGTGGCGGAGGGTGCCGGATTATTGGACATGTCGATCTATCGAAGTGCCGGATTAGTGAGATTATACTGTATAAGACATTTTTACTACGTACACGAGTATGTACCAGTGGCAGGCGTCTGTGAAAAAAACATTTGCAATATGTTAATTTTTCCATTCGTTAAATTTAGGAAATCATTATACTGACAGTTTCTTCATCTCCTGAACACGCCAGCATGGTTTATGAAACGCCCGTCAAGAAGAGTATTGCATTTCTGACTATATATCGACTAATATCAAAATACAACTCTTTCATAAGTCGTAATTTTTGAATATTTTGCTCTAGGCTGATCATTATAAAAAATATGACAAAAAATAACCTTATCAGTACTTACAAAATTTTTGTCATCAATGGTATAGATTTTATAACTTGGATTCGCTTCATAATAAGTCACCAGTGATGCACCATTCCACGCCATATTGATAGCTTGATTTGGATCAGATCTATTATAGAACACGTAAAAATCGTCTCTGTGCTCATGACCGTTGAACTGCCCAGTTATGGTATTGGCAAATCTAGAAAATTAAAAAACATAGAAGATATCGCGTATTTTCCGAAGCATTTTGGTAAACAATGATGATTTTGAATGTTTTCAACTTTCAAATTGATTTGTGTGTCAATTCTGAATATTCCACATACTATTCAAATTATTGGTGAATTTTATGACAAAAACTGTCTTTACCGATCAACAATTTTTCTGTATTCACGACCCCAAATCCTGTAAAAATGTGGATCTCCAGTAGGTAAGTATTTTGGCTTTCTACTTTTCCATCTTCATACAAAAATGTGGGAACCTTTCAAAGAAAGGAAGGAAGCAATCAATTTCGAAAAATTTAATCCAAAGATGTATAGATCATGCAAAGAAGTAACTTTCAGACAAACTGGAAAAAAGCCTTCTCGAAACAGCTACTTCCATATAACATTGAATTACAGGAGAAAATCCTTTTTTTGGGGACAAAACACAAGCACTACAGGAAAATCCTTAAGGCGCTCTCAGAGCGGTGCCTGTGCGAAAGTAGCGATTCACACTGGATTTCGAAACAGAACGCTGAATTATACAAAAAAAAGTTCGCTATTTAGTTTGTATTCCAAACATTCGTTTTGGAAGTGAATCAAATATCATTCACTGTATTGCTACACAGTTTGTGTCTGCAAATTAGTTCTTACTTACTGTATGATATACACATCTTTGTGAAGAGTTAATTTTTGAAATTGATTGCTTCCTTTCTTTCTTCGGAAGATTCTCATTTTTTTGTATAAAGATGAAGAAGTAGAAAGTATGTATGACTGATGATTTGTTTATTTTGTGGAAATTTATGATCACTATAATGAAACGAATAAACGAATCTGAAAACCAGCCTATATAGAGAGTTTTTAGGTAAGCAAGAAGGCGAGGTAGTGAAATGAACAAAGGTGCCAACTATAAAATTCAACACTGAAGATTATAGGGGTTGTCAAACTTATAAATTCAATAGTGGATACCTACATAAATCGAGTTGCCCGTTCAGGGGAATATATTTCGGATTTTTAATCGATTTATTGATTTCCGTGACTTCCAACAAATTCATTGTCTTTCTTTTATTACGTACTAGTACTATGTTGCTGTATCGCTGCTGTTCCAATGTTTTGACAGAATCAGAATCAACGAACTTAAGCGTGCGCAGCGTTATAGAACAGTGCTTTCAAAAATTGTTCTACAGCGCCATCTAGTGACGAGTTACAGAAAAATTGATAGCCTAAAAACCTTCTCTATGAAAAATTACTTATACACGTCAAGTTTCATCACGATCGGTTGAGCAATGTAGAAGTTTATCACTTACCAACCGACCAACGAACATCCATTTTTATATATATGATGTGTAGGATTTTGAGGTTATCTTTACTTATCTTGTGTTTTTATTCTTGAAGATGTCTATAAATTGTAGATTTTTTTGTTCAAACAGACATGTTCACGAGGCCATACGTCAAAATTTCTACTGGTTTGGCCTGTATATACTGCAGAGCATTCGCCACACTCTATTCTATGTATACCTGATTTTTTCATTCTATCTCATTTGGGTTTTGCATTGAACAGAGTTCTGCCTAAATTATTATTACTCACGGAAGTTGTTGTTATTTTGTATTTAGAGAAGTAATTTTGAATAATTTCTGAAAGTTTACCTGAGTAAGTGATGCTACTATATTTACATGTATTGTGTTCTCTGCTGTTTGGGTATAATTTACTTATAAATAGGTAATCCCATGTCAAATTGACCAATGATTGGAATCGAATGGATAAAAATTGGTCAGAAGTTTTCATTTATCGTATAAAGAAGTTTTGCTAAAGTGAAAGAATTGAATTTTTTTTTCGAAAGTTATACAGGGTGTTAATTAAGTATGTACCATAAATTTAACAGACGATTCTTCAGGTAATTTTAAGACGAAATGTTCATATAAACATGGGTCCGCAAATCCTTCGTTCTCAAGATACAGGGTGTTAAAATANGATATTTAAGATATCTATGAATAACTTTTTTTTAAATTTCAACACCCTGTATCTTGAGAACGAAGGATTTGCGGACCCATGTTTATATGAACATTTCATCTTGAAATTACGTAAAGAATCCACCCTGTATAGTGGAACATTCCACTATTTTTATTGTTTTCCAAACTTATGCTTCAAAGATTTCGAAAACTATTATAATTACTTTAATGACCTGAGCTAGGCTTCTGAGGAGATACTTGAAGGTACCAAAAAATTTTTTTGGTTTTTTTTTCAAAAGTTCGCTTTTGGCATAAATTTGAAATTTACAAAATTTTAAAAATCGATGACTGCTATTGAGTTTTTGTTTCTAGAGTCCTCTAATTGATTTCAAAAGAACTTTGAATTTTTGTGTTGTTTTTTTTATTTGAAAAAATACTTTTTGGAAACTCAGGAAAAAAATCATTTCTTTGGCATTGACCAAATAGAACAATAATAAATTCACTTACAGTTTCCAATATCAAAGCACAAACATTTATTTCAAGGCAACAAAGTCAATAAAAAATAATTAATGTTATATTTTTGTTTTCAATCTACATTTCGGTTTTAATTTCGATATAATTGTATTATAATGATCTTTTTTTTATCCCTTTGCTATCGATTCTGGAATATTATCAGAAATTGAATTATTGTCTATAACTTGTACAAAGCATTTTCGTATTTTAAATTTCATGTCACAATATTTGTGCTAGGTGAGGTGCTATTCATTGAGTTTGGAGTAACACACATAAATGAACATATAATTGAACCCGCCACATTAATTGAAACTTTTCTCCGAAATCACTCACCAGTTAGCAATATATCCAACACAATTATTCAGAACAATCACTCTGAATCCTTTTCTTGGTGACACAGTGTAGTATCCTCCTTTGAGAATTGTGTCTTTCACCTCATCAATGGGTACCCATTTCGACATCTTTTGAAACATAATATCAAAAAGCCACTGATCTGAATATGGTGCGTTATTCACTCCAGTAGAAAACCTACAAAACGATACTTGTGATGCACTGTTTGGAACCTTTGGTGTACTAAACCGTTATTTTAACACCTCGACACGTGTTTCGATCACCAAGTAATCATCTTCAAGAGGAAGATCAAATTTGAAGATGATCACTTGGCGATCGAAACCCGTGCCGAGGTGTAAAATAATGGATTGGTGTTGGAAAAACACTCCAGCGATATTCTACAAATGATGATTGAAAATAGAATATCATCATCTATCTTGCTGTTTTGGTCATGTTGGCGAGAATATAAATAGAAAAGGGATATATTGATATCCAAGGTTGGAATTGAATGATTCCTTCGGCTCATATCATTATTTAATCCTTTCCAGGTGTAAATTAACTTTTAATTTCTTCAATAATTTTACAGGCACAGTATTCACTTATCCTTGCATACTTATCAGATATTGTAATAGGGAACAATAATGTGAATTTCATTAGTTCGGACTTCCATTGTCTAATATTATATAAAATGATTTGAAATTCCTGAAAGAACCAATGAAAAAGAAGAATTAAAAAAATAGCAGAAAATAACAATTATATTAAGCAAGAAAACCCTGAAATGATATTAGATTCCAAGCTGAGTTACTTCAGGACATTTCGATTATTAGCATCGTCTTCGCGTGATGACTAGACTAATTCCTTCAAGAGATGACTATTTATGGGTCATTCGAGTACTTTCACTTATCTCCTCCACTTTCCTCTTTTCGCTTCACTGCAATTCAAGCAGTTTCTATCTCCATTCGGGTTTGTAGTCAGTTTGTCGTTTGGAACTGTATCCTCACGTTTCGCCAGCAGGAGGTTTATTCACCAAGATGAATGAACCTTTGAAGAAGCCAGCCATTCGTGCTGGCGAAACGTTAGTATGCAGTTCCAAACTGCGACGGCTTTCAAATCCGAATGGAGATGGTAACATTGACAATACTCTCTGTTATTAAGGTAACACGTTATTGATTCTTATTTAACACAAAAAATCTCAAATCTGATCAAAAACAGATATACGCTTTTTGTCAGAAACTTTGATGAATAAAATAAAGAACATAACTCTACCAGACAACGTATAATCATCATCCTTCTATGAAAATTGGGTGAACCCAGTTCTAAAACAAGGAATTATTGAACTTCTGTCTGAAATTATTTTCAATTCCTCTTCAAAAAGTTTAATTATGAGAAACCGTTGAACCCCTTACTTGCGGAAATTGTCATGAATAACCTAGAGGAGTCGATTTTTGAACATCCTTTGATCAAGTGTTTCTTGTATTCTTGACGTTTGGTATATTCCACAGGTATTATTAAGAGACAATTAGATATTTTTCGTTGATATATTGAGAAAATTCTTGAGAATCTTAAATTCACTATTGAAGTAGAAGCCAACAATTCAAACTCAATCAATTTCCTGGACTCGACAATTAGTATAATGAACAACAAACAAACATGATTTTTCAATTCATCACAAACCTTCCCATATGGATATTACTATTCATTGTGATTCTACCCATTCATATCAACACAAAATAGTATCTTATAATAGCTTGATTCATAGATTAGTCAAGAACTCAAAATCATTAGGTTAATTTCAGTTAACATCGGATTCAAAGCTGAATTAATACACAAAATAATTTCCAAAAAAGTATACGCGAAAGCAATTCGGGACGATTTTTCTATTGATAAGTTAGATAATCAAAATCAAATTTATAGAGCTT